GAGGTTAGGGGTGTACCACGAAGTCTCATATATGTACCTCTGTCTCCCTTAGCTCTTCCAGTTCAGCCACTCTGGTCTCCAAAGCCCGTACTTGGTCTCTGAGGGCTATAAGCTCCCTGCACCGAATGCACACATATGCCAACTGCCCACAAGAGAGGTAAATCACACATGCTGCATTCAGTCCAATGAACTGGATAGCCCCCACTCTGCTGCTGTATTTCTGCATGCATTCTTTTTACCTCTGCAGCTTTTTTGTTTATTTTTCTTGGGAGGGGAGGGGGCATTTATTGCCTAAATTCAGAGAATGTTAATCAGGTGTTATCTGGTTCTCCTGCTCCTTCTCTAAAACTCCCTTGCAAAACTTCTATTAACTGCTCCTGCTCACTAGCTGCTCCCGTTGCTTAAGAGCTGTTTTCTTAAGCCCCTTGTTGTCCAAGTAGCCCTGCCCCTCCGCCCCCCGTTAATGATCCTGAAGGGCTTAGGGATCAAAGGCTCATTAAGATGCTCTCAGCCTTGCCTAGCAGGCTGTTAGACTCAGCAAATGGCCCCCCAAACAGACCACACACTATACTTCAATCAAGTAGCAAGCACACAAACTAACAAACAACAAACTCATCCCAAGGGTAACATAGTTGCTCCTCCTTCCCGAGGAGAACTCTCTCACAAAACTCCCCCGTTAGCTGCTCCTGTTCGCTAGCTCCTCTGGTTGCTTAGGAGCTGGCTTTTTAAACCCCTGTTCTCCCTGAGTAGCCCCAGCCCTAGTTAACGGCTCCTAACGGGATTAGGGAATCTGTCCTCTAGCAGGTAAACTGTCTCACTATCCTGGAACTGACCTTGGCCCCTATGAACGCTGATATCTGAGATGGGATAATTAATGATTTTTCATAATTTATCAGGAGGCCCAGCTGGGGAAACAAGGAGAAGACGCAACTGAAGCTTGTCAGAGCTTCCTGATATGACCTGCCTCCATTCACTCAGCCATCTACGTATGGATTGATATGGGTGCTCTTTTTTCTCAGACATACTGCTACCATTGCAAAGCATTTCATGAAGATCCTTCATACTGTAGAGTCCAAAAGACGGTACCTAGTTCAGGAAGTGATTTGGCTCTGCTGTAACTTTCAGGTTCTTCCTATAGGGTGGGTGGATGGCAACATGGAAGTACAGGTCCTGTAAGTCAAAAGCCACAAACCAGTCTTGAGCCTGAAGAGATGGAATGATGGAGGCAAGCATTACCATGCTGAATCTGAGACAGCGCACATATTCAGTCTCCTCAGGTCTAGAATAGGATGAAGAACCCTTTCTTTGGAATAAAGAAACAAAGGGAGTAGAAGCCTCTTACCCTGTACTCCTAAAAACTTCTCCGATGCTTACAGATGAAACAACAAGGCCACTTCTTTTAGTAATAGCTTCTCAAGAGAAGGGTCCTTGAAGAGGGACTGGGTGAATAGTGGGGAGCAAGCAAAGAATGGCTACAATGTCCACCACCCACTTGTTGGCTTTATCTCTGACCACACCCAATAGAAAGGGGCAAAGCAATTTCTGATTGTCATCGCTGGGTTGGATCCTGACATGGCTCCCATCCAACCTGCTGCCTCTGGGATGGAGCCTGGTGCGCAATGGAAAAGGATGACTGCCATCCCATCTCCTGGTATATCAGTGTGAGTAATCTGGTTGGTGACTGTAGGGTACAACAGCGTTCTTTGCCACTGCAGGAGCTGGTACTGAAATGGCTTAGGTGTAGATCCCTAGTAACCTCAGCACTGCCCTCAAATCCTTGATGGAATGGAGTGCCTCATTTGTGTTATTGCAGAACAGCTCCATTCCCTTGGAGACTAAGTCCTCTATAGTTGCCTGGACTTCTCAGAATCCCAGAGAGCTGTTGCCATGAGACAGATCTTATTGTGATTGCCATGGATATGCCCTAGCAGCTGTACCAGACTAATCCATTTGCTGTCATCTGGCTCCCTTCGATAGCATCTCTGAACACTTCTCTACAGTATTGTGGCTTAAATAGGATGGAAAAATATTTTCAACAGGGCCTGGTTGTTTGTGATACAGAACTGGAGCAAGCCAGATAAATATAACTTGTGACCGAAAAGGTCCAATTTCTCGGGATCCTTATCTTTCAGAATCCCCTTAGTGGACCTGTTTTTTTTCCTGGACCACAAGTACTGCTAGTGATCCTGCTGCAGGATGCCCAGAAAAGTGTTCAAAAGCCCTTAGGTGGTACCTAGTACCTTTCTACTTTGCTGGCTCCAGTACACCTTCATTAATTGGGAGGGAAATTCTTGATAGCACTAAGCAGCTGTGAATGATGAACAACTTGTGTGTGTTTCTCTTGGATCAGTGTCTCCACATCCAAGGTTTCAGCTATCCTCGAGAGCAGGTCTTGGAAGGCTCTAGAGTCATCAACGGCTGGTGTAGGGGCTGAAGTGACTGTCTTATTAGGAGAACTTGAAGACTCCTTCAGTGGAGAGGGCAGTCTCCACTTGCTTATGAGGGGCTTCCTCCATTTCTGGTGAGGGGCCTGGCCATTCAGGTCGATGATGATCAAAACCACCTCCTTTTCCTGGACACATGTGACCATGATCGGTTTCTTGACACACAGGAAGGTGAACCTCCGTAGGCCCAAAAAGGCCAATGTGGAACATTAAGGGTACTGGCCAGATCGCTGTTGACTTGTCCACTGCCAGTCACACAAATGCCCAGAATGGAACATTTCTAGAACTCCCGCTTAGATCCTTTTATGGTCCGATAGGAGAGGTTCCCTATATGATGTAGGGGAGAAGGAGTGAGTTGGAAATGGTGAATAGAAGTACAGCCTCTGGGAACAGTGGTCCTGCTGGGGTAAATCCAGGTCCGGGGCCTCTGGTGAGGTGCCTGTCCTGGTACTAAGGAGACAGGAGATGTCAGTACTTCCAAGGCATATCTCAGTACCCATATGGTTCCGGTGTCAAAAACAGCGTAAGTAACGCTGTCTCTTGCACGTTCTTCAGTCAGCACCATGCGCCCAGCCCTTAACATCGAGGAGGACTTGGAAAAGGCATCTCTGGAGGAATGTTTTAAGTCCTCCTAGAGGATGAATCCACTACACACACTGAGCTGCATTTGCACTTGGTGTGGGTCTGTTGCTTGGCACTTTGTAAAAGCAGATGACATGGGTCTCCTTGTCCTGGAGTCTGTGCCAAAGCACTCAGTGCAGAGGTCATCGATGCCAGAGTGCAAGTGTCAGGCTAGTCAGTGTCTTAAGTCTTGGTGCCAGTGGTCTTGGAGCCCTTTTTGATGACTTCTGGCTGGAACAAGTGGTCAGGTGCCTGCTTTCTACAGCACTTGCTGTGGATAGTCTCCTCTATTCACATTCCATGGATCTCTCCTCTCCAGGATCAGACATGACTTTCATGGATTGCTGAAAGAGGTGTAATTTGAGCCTTGTCTCTCAATTTTCAAGTGTGGGCCAAGAAGGAATGACAGACTGAGCATCTGTTGGGGATGTGCCCCTCCCAAAGCAGAAAAGTCATCGGCTGTGCTTGCCAATTAAGGGCACAAGATCATTTCACAGTGGACAGAGCTAAACCCATAGGGGTTAAAAAATCCACCATGATGACGGCTAGCACGAAATGCCTCAACCCTCAATGGGGTCACCACCTGGGTTTTATTTAAATTTTTTGGAACATCCAAATCAGTTAGAAACATGGAATTGAAGAGGGTTTTCTTCATAATATAATTTGAAGTGAGTTTGAAGCTCAAGGAAGAATACCAGATCGGACATTTGCCAGGTTCTGTCTTGTTGGCATACATGGTAAGAGGGAACTGAGGGAGTGTCGCAGCCAATCCACCCTTTAAGCCCTCACATGAGAGCATGAAGAGACACAGGACATGTATGGCCCAGACATCGTTACACCGTTACTCCGAAAAGATTCCAAGCTCATGTGCATAGGCATGTGCACCTTCAGAGAGACCCAAACTGATACAAAGAACTGTTTAATATTGAACTCAAATTTTAGAAGGCAATGCAATAAGTAAGGATATGCATCAGTCATAGAAGATATCATAAATATTTTAACTAGGAAGAACCAAAAACGCAGTTTTCAGATTTGGATCAGGTTTAGGCCAGTACCTGCGGTTCAGATTAGTGGCCAAACCACTAGTAGTGTATAGATTTGGTGGTCACAAAAATCATAAAATATTGTGTTATCTGGTCTTAATTAAAATCTGTTTAAACTATAGAATAAAATTCAGCATAAAACTGAATCCCTCTGTTGCCAGCATAAAGTGTAATCTAGTTAATTAACAACCTTCGAGGACTGAAAAAAATTATAAACTGAAGTCAGCAATACAGAAACATTCATATTAAAAATGCACAAATCATTTTTTCATGGTCAGACTTCTCTGTAATGTAAACAGCTGAAACATGAAGGGACAATGTCAAACTCGGGTATGAAACTAGTCTGATCGCTGTAGTTCATGTCATGCTATCTAGGTATTTATACCAGGCTCAATTCATAAATTACAAATAATTCTACTTCAAAGTGTAGCATCACTTTTTCCCCTGCCTTCCTTCTTTCCTGTCTGCATTTGCCATAAAATCAGTTTTGCTTGTTAAAAACTCAAGTGTCTCTGACTTCCACTGTTTTGTTATTTTTATAGTGCTTAACCCTGGACACTGCTTTGCACTTTTATTTGAAAAATATAATCTGAAACAAAAATTCTTCAGAATCATTTACTATTTTTCTAATTAGTTGAATTTTTTTCTCATCTGTGTGAGGGATAGATAGCAAAGGCTAAAGCCAGAAATAGCATGAATATGCACTACACAAGTTTTCTCAGACAGCTCTACCAATGAACCTTAATCTTGATTTACAGTAACCCTATTGTACTAGCCTACGGTTTTTTCTAAGAAAAGCAATTATGTCAAACTGTACCAAATTATTTTAATTCTATTTTCATAATTCTCTATCCTTAAAACTACTCCTTTCCTTTACTTTAAATCCACTCACTGTTGTAAGCTGCTGCTGCTGCTAGCCTCTGGCTGTAACATGCTGTGAGGAATTGGTCCTGAGGAGTCAGCGTTTCCTGACAGCGAATTGGACAAGACAGGGGAAGAGAAAAATGAAAACGAAGGGGGAGAATGACCAATGGCAAAAGGGGCAGGGAGCAACTACCAATGTTTATCGACTAATAGTCCCATCAGCTTTATATGACATGCAAACATAATGAACATATTCATATAATTGCTGTACGTAGGACAGATAACTAAATCTCAATTTTCCTAAAGTTACCTGCCATGAAAGCCAAAAAATTTAAAGGTAGGACTAATTCTTATCAGTGTGGGAGTGAATAGCACAGACTAATGGAAGTATGGCTCTTGACTTACTACAACGAGCAGGTCTCTTCTTTCGTGGACTTTCCACATCTTCCATGTCTGTTCCAGTGCTTTCCTCTGTTGTGGCTGCTGCTGATGCCGCTGCCTTTCTTTTCTTCTGTAAAAAAGAAAAGAAAGTGGTTGAGACAACAGCAGAAATTCCAAGTAGACTGACTAAATAAGAGTGAGGTAGAAGATATTTACATGTGTTTACAATATTTACAATATTACATGTGTGATATTTACATGTGTTACTCTGTGATTCTAAGTCATTTGTCCCACAATCTCCATAACACCGGATCTGAATATTCACTATACTCTTTATGCAGAAGGCAATTGACTCAAAAATATTAATCTAAAAGTTAGACACAGTACTGATTACAATATACAATTTTAAACAGTTCAGTTTTACCTTTCCACAAAAAGCTATTTGTTCACATTTTAAGAATGTTTTTATTTTAAACTATAACAATCCACATTTCTAAATCAAGGCCTCTCTAATTTTAGTAATAATTTAAATTTAATAATTATCAAAGAATCAATCTATCCTAAAATAATACAGAAAAATGTTCTTACCCAACATTAAAATTAATTACATTTTTAGTAATTAACATATACCATATTAAGTCAAACTTTATCTGAATCCAAAGGCTTAAAGCCTTTTTTTTGCACAGCTAAAAAGTATCTAACACCCACAGACAGCTTTTTTTTTTCCTAATGGCAACTATAGGTTCTCTTCCAAGGAGAGCTAAAAGGGAATGCTGAACTCTATTCAAGACACATTATCTTAAAACTTCTGAATATATAGAACTTATCTGTGTATTACAATTAATCCCACTGTTGCAAAGTGTTCTTAAAGTGGCTATGGAAACTTTCTTAAAAAAAAAAAAAATCACATCATTTTGCAAAGGATGTATTGGCCCACATACATAACTTTGCTAAACATTGGGAAAGTTTAACTTGCTTTTTTATTAACCGAATAAGAATGTACTGCTTTACTAAAATATCTTTAAAAGTGTTACAACTTCACATAGCTGATAGAAGGGGAGAGCACATTACATCTTTCTTTTCCAAAGTGTTGCTTCATGATTACCATCTAAACCCTGCTGGGCTGAACAGATTGGTTCGATAATTACATACAATAACTGCAGTGGGCAGGTAACCCTCAGCTGGCACAGGGCAGCTCCCCTGTGAGAACTTCCATATGCAAACTGCACTGATGGAGTGCATTAGGTACATCTTTCCTGCCGGTGCACAGGCCTGATTAACGCCAGCCAAGACTCCAAGGTTAGCATGTCAGCAGATTTGTGATGCATTAGGCAGGAATAAACACAGACACTTTTGTTCGTTCTGACCAAAATTAAGGAGGAATATTTCAGCACTGTATTGCCTTTATACAGGAGATAATGCATTCCCCCTGATTGTACTGTGAGAGATTTTAAATGCTCATCGTAAAAACAGATATCAATTACATTCTACACAAAAGCAAAGTACATTTATCTTGTTTCCAAGATTATTTAATAAAAAAAAGGATCTCAATCTTGATGCAGGTGAATCACATGGCAACGGAAATCAGGCAGTACTCATCTCACAAAAGCAACACCTGTGTGTTTGAAACAGAATGTGAGAAGGAAGTATGAATCACTGTAACCCATATTTCCACTGTTTATTTTCCAACAATTATGGAGTGCTGTCAGTGTGCTAAGCACGGAAAAAACATAAGACATTGCCCTTACTCCAGGGAGTTTAGTTTAACAGTCACAGAGGCTTCCTCTGGAATATAATGTTGGTATCTTCTTGTTATGCTAGAGCTTGTGCACAGAACAGAACAATTATGCAATGATCTGCCTCTGTCTTCCACTCCCAGCTTCTGGTAATCTGAGACTGAGGGTCACCCCGAGCATCGGCTTGCACCCCTGACTATTTTGATTAACAGACATTGACGGATCTATCCTGCATTAATTTATCCAGTTCTTTTTTGGCCACCACATCCCACAGCAATGAGTTCCACAGGTTAGTTATGCATTGCTTGAAAAGTACTTCCTCTTATGTGTATTAAATCTGCTGCCTATTAATTTCATCAGGTGACCTCTGGTTTTTGTATTGTGTGAAAGGATAAATAACTTCTGTTCACTTTTTCCATACCATTCATGATTTTATACACCTATCATATCCTGCTTTAGTTGTCTCTTTTCTAAAGAGCACACCATGGATTTATATAGTGGCATTACAATATTTTCTATCCCTTTCCCAATAGTTCCTAACATACCATTAGTCTTTTTTGACTGCTGCTAAAAATTCCGCTCAATGTGTGAGAGAACCATGCAGGGTAATGCCAAGACTTCTTTCTTGGATGGTAACAGCTAATTTAGAACCCATCATTGTGTATGTATAGATTGGATTATTTCCCCCCCCCCCCCAATGTGCATAACTTTACACTTAACAACACTGAATTTCATCTGCGTTTTGTTGCCCAGTCACCCAGTTTTGTGAGATCCCTCCGACTCCTTGCAGTCTGCTTTGGACTTAAATATCTTGTTAGTTTTTGTGTCTTTAGCAAGTTGCTTCTCAAATTCTCTCATTGCCTGCCTTATTATATTTTTACATTTTACTTGCCAGAGTTTGTGCTCCTTCCTATTTTCCTCATTAGGATTTGACTTCCAAATTTTAAAGGATGCCTTATAGCCTATAATGGCCTCCACTACTCTGCTGTTCAGCAATTGTGGCATTCTTTTGGTCCTCCTACCATCTTTTTTGATTTGGGATATACATTTAGTCTGAGCCTCTATGTTTTTAAGTAGTCTCCATGCTGTTTGAAGGCATTTTACCCTTGTGACTGCTATTTTTAATTTCCATTTAAGAAGCGTCCTTCTTGTGTAAGTTCCATTTTTAAAGTTAAACTTCACTATTTGTTTTTGGTACTTTCCTCACTAGAATGATGCTAAATTTAATTACTGTTTATACTTGATCATAAGTCAGTTCCTTTATAAGCCGACCCCCACAAGATGGATAAGTAAAAATGGAAAATTTTTATAACCCGTTCATAAGCCTATAATTCAGGGGTCAGCAAACTTTGGCTCCCGGGCCATCAGGATAAGCCGGTGGCAGGCCAAGATGGTTTGTTTACCTTGAGCGTCTGCAGGCACAGAGATAAACCTAAGTAAACGAAGTGTCCCGGCGTGCCAGCTGCTTACCCTGATGGGCCGGGACAGCAAATGGTGGGGAAATTTTTTTTGGGGGGGGGGAAGCTGGGAGTCGGGAGTAACCCCTGTGACCACCCCCCAAATGACCCCAGCCCTAGCCCGGGACCCCCACACTCTCCCCATCACATCCCTTCCCACCTTATCTGGGGAGGATGCCTCTGGCCTGGCTGGAGCTGCTCCGGCAGGCTGGGCAGCGCACCCGCAGCTTGCTCTGGTGGGCTAGATGGGCGGCGCAGCTGCAGCACGTTCCAGCGGGCTGGGCCAGGCAGCACAGCCGCAGCGTGCTCTGGCGCCCGGGTGGCGTGGCCACAGCCTACTCTGGGGGGGTGGGGCGGGGCCGAGCGGCACGGCTGCAGCCTGCCAGCCCTGGAGCTGCAGCTGCTTTGGAGGCTGGGGGAGAGGAGCGTGGCCAGAAGCGGAGCGACTCTGGCCCTGCCTCTTCCCTTCTGGCTCTGCTGGCTGTGCTGCCTCTCCTTGCTCCCTCTGTTGGGGGGAGGGGCTGTGTCCCACCTCTCCCTCTCTATACGTGTTCATAAGCCGACCCCCTTCTCCGGTGCTTCCCTTTTTTACTAAAAAAATTCGGCTTATGAACAAGTATATACGGTACATTATGGTCACTATTCCCAAGCAGTTCAGCTACAATTACCTCTTGGACCAGATCTTGTGTTCCACTTAGGACTAAATCAAGAGTGTGGGTTCCAGGAGTAGAGTGCTCCAAGAAGCAGCGATTTATGGTGTCTAGAAACTTTATGTCTACATCACACTCTGAGGTGAAATTTACCCCATCAATATAAGGATAGTTGAAATAATCTACTATTGTGTTTTCTGATTTTGTAGCCTCTCTAACCTCCCTTAACATTTCATAGTCACTATCATCCTAGTCAGGTGGTCAGTAACATATTCCTACTGCTCTATTAATTATTCAAGCATGGAATTTGTATCCATAGAAATTCTATAGTACAATTTGATTCATTTAAGATTTTCACCTTATTTGAATATACTTTTAAAAACAAAAAACAACAACAAAAGAAAAACAGTGCCACTGGCCTATCAAACATAACATACCCTGTAATTCCTATATATTTTGTACCCTGGTATCATTATGTCCCACTGATTATCCTCATTTCATCAAGTTTCCGTGATGCCTATTATATCAATATCCTCATGTAATACCAGGCATGCTAGTTCACCGATTTTATTATTTAAATGTCTAGCCTTTGTATCTAAGCACTTGTACATTTTGTCAATAGTTAGTTGCGTGCCTTCATGTGTTATGTTTAAATGAGACTTATATGACTGTTGCTCACTAGCTCCTACCTGTACTTTACCACCTTCTTTCCTAACCTCTATGCCAGGACACAGAGTTCCCTCTTCAATAAATTCATCAGGGGATGTCTTCACCTGAAACATTGGGCTCCTCTGCACTTCTTGGTTTTCCCTCAGCCACTAGTTTAAAAAATCCTCTACAACCATTTTAATTGTATGTGCCAGCAGCGTGGGTCCATTTTGATTAAGGTAGAACCCACTCATCCTTCCTGTATAGGCTCTTCCTTCCCCAAAACGTTCTCCACTTCCAAATAAACCTAAAACTCTTCCCCCTACACTGTCGTCTTATCCATTAATTTAGACCTTGCAGTACAGTTTGTCTTCCTGGCTCTGCACATGGAACTGGAAGCATTGCAGAGGATGTTACCATGGATGTCCTGGACTTTAATCTCTTACTTTGCAGCCTACATTTGGCCTCCAAGACCTCTCTCCTACCTTTCCCTATGTCATTGGTACCTACATGTACCATGACCACTGGTCCCTCCGCAGCACTACCTACAAGCTATCTAGATGTATCAGGAGATCCGCTACCTTTGCACTCGGCAGGCAATTCACCATGTGGTTCTACGAGCCATCAAACACACAACTT